TGGCTGTTAGGGGGGCATGACAAGGCAACGACTTCATGGGAGAGGGATTTCATAAGAGGGAGACGGGGTAGGACTCCTCCAAAGGGACAACGATGGAGCTGGAAAATTCCTAGGAGGGAAAAGGGGGTCCCCAGTTGTGGGGGCTGCTCACCGGAGGCTCAGGGTTGTACTGCGCAGCCGCCTCGCTGAGGAGAACACGCGGGAGTTAGGGCCAAGGGGTGGGGCTTCCAACGGGCAGCTCCAGCAGAACCGCCAGCCCCAGCCCCCACATCCCAACCCCCCAAACTCAGTCCACCCCCAACCCTAACTGGTTCCTCTGCCCACCTCATGTGTCCTTTCCTGTCCCCGTCCTTGCCGCCATGGTCTCGCCCTGTCTTTCCCTCCATCAGGCCAACCCCAAGGAAGAAACCACGGCCCACCCCCCCAGCAGGCTCCACCCCCTCCCGGGCCCACCTCCCAATGGCACACTCCAGAACCACCTTGGCCCCACCCAATTCTCAACCCAGAATCCTGCCCAGTGCAACAGACCCCGCCCCTTCAAGGGCTCGCTTCCCAGGCTCTGCCTCAACCTCCTTAGGCCGCGCTGCCCAGGACCCTACTCGATTGCCCTCCTTCCTGAAGGCCTATCTTCCCAACACCCTGCCCCAGCTCCATTAGACCCAGCTCATAGCTCAGCGGCCATGGCTAATGAGGCCCCCACCGATAACTTGCCCTACCCCACCAGGGCGTTTTTCCTTCATTAATCCAGCCGGTTTTCCGGCCAGCTCCTGCCTCTTCAAGGCCCATTTCCACTATCCTATCAAGCCTCCTGGTGGTGTAGCGGTTAAGTGCTACGGCTTCCGACCAAAGGTCAGCAGTTCAAATCTACCAAGCACTCCTCGGAAACGCTATAGGGTCCGTATGAGTCGGAATCGACTGGATGGCAACGGGCCTTTACCAAGCCTGCAGGAGTTCTGGCGGTGCGGTGGTTTACGAGCTGCTCACCAAAAGGTCGGCAGTTCGAATCCACCAGCCGCTCCTCGGGAAACCCTATGGGGCAATTCTACCCTGTCCTATAGGGTCACTAGGAGTTGGAAACGACTGGACGGCAATGGGTTTGGTTGTTTTTGGTTTTTTTATCAAGCCTCTCCAGGGCCCGACTCCCCATTGACCGTCCCAGGACAGCCAGGCCGCGCCCATGTCAAGTCCCGCTCCCCCTCGCTGGCACACCCGCCTCACTGCGCCCCGCCCCTGGCCCAGCCTGATCAAGACGCCAGGCCAGTGTACAATCACCCCTTTTACTCTTGTGGGGCCTCTCCCTCCTCCAGGCCCCGCCTTACCTGATGGCACTGATGACCCCGCCCAGGATGCGCATGGCGGTTCCTCCGCCGCCGCCACCGCCTCCTCCTCCTCCGCCTCCACCGCCTCCTCCGCCGCCGGCCCCGCTAATCAGGCCTCCGAGCACATTCCCCAGGCCCCCGCCCAGGCCCCCGCCGCCGCCGCCACCGCCGCCGCCGCCCTTCAGGAACGAGTTGACCAGGAACATGGCTGCGACTTAGACTCCTAAGAGGAGAAGGGGGAGTCAAGGGGCCGCCTCGCCCCTGAACCCCACCCCCACCTCAAATGCACATTTCCGGAAGCTGGAAGTGGGAGGAATCTGAGGACTCGGGGTGGGGACCAAGGCTCTAGCTGTGGCTTGGGGGTCCCGTCGGGATGGGGTCTGGGCTTGTGGGGAGGGTGGGATAGGGACGGAGGGTAAGGTTTGAAACCCCCTCGGATCTAACGGACCCCGTGGGTCTTGAGGGACCCTGAGTTGAGTCCACGCACAGGCAACATTAAGGTTAGGGGCCCAGGTCTAGAGGGGTTCTCCCGATGGGGGCCTCAGGTTGGTATAAGGCATCCCATGAAGTGTCTGGCTCGTAGAATCGGAGATCAGAGCCTTAGAACTGGACTTAGGGGTCCTTGGCCTGGAGACCCCCAAAGCGGGGTTTAAAGAATTCGGAAGTTGGAATCGAGGGTCTGGGAACTCCCAGTGGCGAGACTACTGCTGGGTCTGCGGGCTCAGGTCTAAGATCGTGAGTGTGAGCCCCCGGGCTCGGGATAACGGGGTCCCCATTGCAATTGGAGGCACGGATCCAGGGCGGTGGTTCTAGAGGCTCCAGGGCAGAATTTACGAGAAACCTCTCGAATCTGTGGGCTTACATTTTCGGTCATGAGACCAGGGATCCCCAGGGCCGGGATAACGGGGGCCGGACAGGTCTGGGGATCCTAAGGATCCAAGGTCATGGATCTGGGGGACCCCTGAAGCCGTACTGTCTAGTCGGGTCTGGGGGCCGAGGGGGCGGGCATTAAGGAGTGTGGGGGGAGTCTGGGCTAGGTGCTCACCGCCTCGCTCACACGTCCGACGGTCAGTTCGCCTGCAGCCCCCGGGCCTCCCGCTGCGTTCGGCTCCCGAGGGCGGGGCCGGTGACTCAGGACGCGGCGATCTGCTCGGGCACAGCCGGAGCGGCCGGGCGGCCATCCGCGCGGTCCTAGGGCCGGCACGCGGCGACTGCGCCTGCGCACGCCGGCCCGGGGCCCGCCTAACAGGGTATGCGTGGCGCAGCTCCGCCCTGTACGTATCCGGCGCCGTGGGGTCCAGCCCCGCGGAGACTTAGCGGGGTGTGACGTCTTCTCCTGCATCTCCCGGGCCTGTTGAAGGCACCTGGCGAGGGCTCCGGGTTGGCCGGAGAATCACGGACACCACCGCGCTCCAGGGCCGTCGTGTGGATTTTCACCCCGAGGCCCGCGTGCACCCGGGCGCGGGTGAGGTTTTCGGCCCGCTTGAAAAGGCCCTCGGCACACGGCCCCTCCCCAGGACTTGTCACGACAAACAGAGCGTTTGGAGGCCCCGAGCGTGCTTTGACTCACACTCTGGGGACAAGCTCCGGCATCTGTGGCAGGGATTGAGGATAAGCGGCATTTCCCGGGCTCTGGGAGCAGCCAGATGGCGCTCAAATGGCGGGTAGGACTTCTGCTAGGAAAGGTTCCTTGTGCCTCCGCCTCCCGTCCGCTTCCCCCGAGTCAGGGTCACCAGAGTAATTTTTCCTGGCCGGGCTCAATCGAAGTCTCGTCTCAGTCTCCCAGTCTCTAAGGTAGGCCCGGACACAGGAAGGGTCCTCCGGCCACGGCCTGATTTCTGAGGCCAGATGTTTCCGAGGTTGGGGGCGTGGGGGAGGAGGTTAGAACTGGGAGGAAAAACGGTGACTGAAGCCGCCTTTGGAGGCCCTCCTTGCACTTGCTCTCTGCTTCCAGCCTTCAACCTGGGCGCTCCCAGTAACTTGTCAGGGCTCCTCGGGGGAAGCTGAGTCTGGCCCCCGGGCAGTCTGGCCCTGGGTGCCTTCCCTGGAAGCCAGCCAGGCTTGAGTATGAATCCTGCTGCGCTCCCTAATATCTGTGCGATCCCAAAACGGTGACCTGAAGTCTCTGAGCAACGATTTTCTCATTTGTAAGATGGGAATACGGGTCGACACTCGCTCCCCCCACCACTAGGCCCCTATTAGAATTAAGTGATAAATGCTTAGTAAATGGTAGATATTAGCGTCTCTGCCTGTGCCCATGCTTTTCCCTCCGCTGAGAGGCCATCTGGATTCCTCAGCCCTTGACTGGCTCATCATCCATAAATAATACTGATAAAAATAACTCAAGCGCTCTCCTCAGCATTTTACATATATCACCTGACTGGTCTTTATAACATCCCCATCTTAGAGATACGTAAACTCTCAGGGTTAACCCAGTGCTGTACCATAGTCTTTCTAGCCATAGTCTTGGTAACTCCCACCAAATGACTGGGTGGGAGTATGCAAATGAGGTGCTTGTGGCCCACCAAGGAGATTGGATAGCTTGTTAATAATGTAAATAAGGTGCATGGCACCCCAGGGGGCAGAGTAGGACCATGCAAATAAGGTGTATGGAACCCTAACGAGGGGATTGGTCAGTTTTGTCATCCCGCTAGGCTCAAAGGAGAGCCAGCTCCAGAGCACAGAGAGGATCTCAACCCCACTAAGAAAGAAGAGCCAGGAGTGGAGCGCGTCCTTTGGACCAGGATCCCTGTTCTGAGAAGCTCCTGGAACCAGCAGACTGAGAGAGAGCTGTAACACCAAAGACGAAAAGAAACAGTGGCAGCAGAGGCAAGAGACTAGGAGGAGAGGGCACAGAGTGTTTCCTGGCCCACAGAATGAGAAAGCTGAGCACCTTTGGACAGGAGGCTTGCTGGCGAGTAGGGTGCCTCTGGGCATTTAGTGGAGTTAGGTTTGCTGACCCACTGAGGTAAAGCTGAGTGCCTTTGGGCCAGGGCTTACTGGGAGAGTGGGGTGCCTCCAGCCACTTACAGGTGGAGCTAAAAGAGCTTTGTAGCACTTGCCTGAGCAGGGCAGAGGCCAGGCTGAGGGGCCAAGGGCCAGAGAGAGACCTGCTTGCAGGCACAGCTGAGAAGAGACTGTCCTGATTGAGGAACTGTATCCTGAGAGTTCCTACACCTGCATTGTGACCTGTCCCATGCCTAATAAACCTCATAACTGTGGTAACTGTGAGCATGGTCTCTGAGTTCTTTGTGGCCATTGCAATGAATTATCCGAAC